GACTTGTTCTGGGTCTTCGTCTATAAGGTGTCTCTTTTATTTGTTCCAGATGATCTCTTTTGGGTATAATTGACGTGGGTGCTTCTGTTGTTGTTTATATGGATGTGGGTGATTCAAAGTCCATTTCTTGATCCAGTTATTATAGTTTATTTTGTTGTTGTGAATCTGCCATATTTTGGGTTAAGTTTTGTTTATTTATAGATGGACTGAAACTTTTGGTTGAATTCTCATACAATTGTCATCATATTCATAGGGCCAATCAGAATTTTCCAAATTGTATGGATTTATCCTCTTTTTTTTTTTTTTTTTTGTGGCATGTTTATCTCTTCTTGATCAATCTTCTTATAGAATTTTGAGGAGTGAGTTGTACCTTGTGTATGTTTCATAGTCCTTGAAACAGTCGTGTCTTAAACAAAAATATGACTTATATTGAAATTTCTGCTGTCAGATGTTGAAATTTTTCCTAAATGTATGATTTTGTAGCTACTCTGTCTTATTATTGTTGTTAAACAAGCTGTTGAAAGAGGTTTAAACTGAATACCTCCTCATATATATATATACATTTTATTATTATTTATTATTTATTTTTTTGTGTTTCAGGACTGAAAAAGGTTTGTTTTATGCGTTGGATCTTGGAGGAACAAACTTCCGTGTGCTGAGGGTGCAATTGGGGGGGAAGGGTCGTGGAATTATTAGTCAAGAATTTACGGAGGTCTCAATTCCTGAAAATCTTATGGTTGGGACTTCAGATGTAAGTAGTTTGTCACTAAGAATGCCATTGTAAATCAAGGTGCTTTATGCGAAACATCTCTCAAGTCTAAAGGATAATTGTGATTTCAGGCACTGTTTGACTACATTGCAGCAGAACTTGCAAAATTTGTTGCTAAAGAAGGTCAAGATTATCAACTCCCTCCTGGCAGGCAGAGAGAACTAGGTTTTACCTTCTCATTCCCTGTGCTGCAATCATCAATTAATTCTGGGACCCTTATTAAGTGGACGAAAGGCTTCTCTATAGATGATGCAGTTCAGTCCTCATTACTTTGGCTCCTTTAATATTCTCTGATAATTGTTTTCTACTTAGTTTAATGTTCTCTATATTCTCCTTTAATATTCCCTTGTTAGAAAAAAAGTGAATATCAACACTTATGAAGTGTAGATATAACTGTGCCGGGAGTTTGCAATGCATTCGTCCATTTCTGTTTAATCCATTGTAATGATGGACTGAAATCCAAAAATATGCCTGAACATCGTGGGGCACATGATTCTAGTGGTAGAGCACTTAGGGTCACACCAATGGCCAGAGTTTGACTTTTGCCCTCTCCTGGTCTACGCCTTATTTTGTTCCAAAAAATGTTGTTTGGATGACTGAGACTCCCAGTTATGAAATTCAATTAGATCCCTTTTCTGAAATTTAAGGTCTGCAGCCTGGGTATATTTTTTCTCCGTTTTGAGTGAATATAGTTGTTGCATTTGTTGTGTCATTACTGGATATCCACTAAGATTTATTTCTATCCGTATTCGCCTCTGACATGCACTTTCTGTACTTTAAAAGGAAAGAAAAATGAAAGGTGGAACAGTGTTTAATTTTGTTTTTCTTCTTCCAGGTAATGTATCTAGAAATTGTTGCTTAAGAGTAGTTTCTTCTGATATTTACGCTCATCAGTTTTCAGAGAAGTTAAAAGCTCGCCTCATCTGTTCCTTTTAAATTTTAATGAGACACACTTCACTGCTCTTTTCTTGTGTTGAGATAGGTTGGATAGTTCCTTTGGTGCCTGTGAGCTACACTATAGCCAATAATTTCTATTTGGCATGATGTTATCATGCTTGCCCTTAGAAAAGCTTCCTACATATTCTGTATCTCTGTTGATAATGTTCATTGCTTCTGTTGAAACATTGACTTGGACAGAGGTGATGTTAGGAAGATGATATCCATAGTCTTGTTTCAGCATCCTTAAACATTAACATCAGTCAAACACTATTGATTTTAAGATGTATGGCTAGTCCCACCTCTCATCATCTTCAAGCTGAGATCCATCTTCTACATCTATTATTTCATTTTATTTCCTCCTGTTAAATGAAAGTTATTTCACTTAGCAGTGCTTGAGTTCTTAAGATAGAGAGTACAGTGAATCAGTAACTTATGAATGTGGTTGAGTTTCTGTAATATAGTGTCCTCATCAAAATGTTGAAGTTATCTTTTGGTTCTTAACAATTGTAGTCAGTGCTACTTCTGACTATCTTCAAGTGCGCTTCATCATTTATAAACAATACACACGCCAAATACTGTATTCTATTTTCCCCTGTTGAATGAGCAGCCATTCCCCTCGGCGCTAAAAGTCAAAAGATAAGAGTTGATGTCTAGTATATTATATGTATTGGAAGCAGTAAGCATATGTAGTATTTGAATTATTGCCGGATGTCCAATAATAAACAGATTCTGAAATTGTGAAACTTGTTTGTTTACCCTTATTTCAACCTTTTGACTTTTAACTCTTGATGAATAGGTTGGCCAAGATGTTGTGGCTGAATTGAGTAAAGCCATTGAAAAACAAGGCCTTGATATGCGTGTGTCTGCTCTGGTAAGTTAAAGTTGATCAGTTATTAGAACATTGAAAAAAATGACCATCATGTTGATTCTGTTAGTACATAGTTTATTGGATTTGTGCTGTAACAGCATTTAAAATGCTTTTTCATATAAACTATTGTTTAAAATTAGGTGTTAATGGTCACTTTCTTACAACAGGTTAATGACACGGTTGGGACATTAGCTGGAGGTAGGTATGTCAATGGGGATGTTGTTGCTGCTGTGATTTTAGGCACGGGTACAAATGCAGCATATGTAGAACGTGCACATGCAATACCAAAATGGCATGGTCTTCTACCTAAATCTGGAGATATGGTTAGCAGTTCCTTCACGGCCATTGACTTGTGTCAATTTCATATTCAATACTATCTTTTGTTTGTACAACTATAAAAACAATATGCAAATGCAAATTATAAAGCGAATAGTGAAGCAGCTTTCTATGGACTGCAGGTTATCAACATGGAGTGGGGCAGTTTTAAGTCAGCACACCTTCCATTAACAGAATATGATCACTCATTGGATACCGAAAGTTTAAACCCTGGTGATCAGGTGATTGTACTTATATACTTCTTAAGTTTGTTTTGCTTAGCTTTATTAACAAACTAGATAATACTCATATTTTAACGTCTTTCAATTGATTCTTTCAGATTTTTGAGAAGCTAATATCTGGAATGTACTTGGGAGAAATTGTTCGCAGAGTTCTTTGTAAGATTGCTGAAGAAGCTTCCCTTTTTGGTGACACTGTTCCACCAAAGTTAAAAGTCCCATTCATTTTGAGGTTTTTCCTTAGGCCCACTATGTTACTTTTGTTGTATATGTTGCTGTTTGGTGTATATAGTTTCTCTTTTTCAGATTTAATTTTATTCACGTTGTTTAGATTATTTGGAATGATGATAGTGGATTGGGATTTGTTTTCACGAAGTAGTTAAATTGTGAGTTATGAATCATGCAGGACACCTGACATGTCTGCAATGCATCATGACACATCCTCTGATCTTAAGGTGGTACGAGACATTTTGAAGAATGTATTGGAGGTATATTTAACTTTCCACGTCATCTGGAGTTTCAGTAGTTGTCAAACCTTATTATTTGCTTTCATATCTCCGTGACTTCTCACTTGCATTGTTAGCAAAGTCATAATTGTCTTAAATAGACTTACGGCAATTATGTTATGGGGTGATATAGAGGTTGAATCTTGTGGACGATATTCTCTTATCTTCATATGAATGACTTTTAAATTTTGATTCCCAAACTAAATCAATAAGTTTTTGTAGATTTAAATCTTTGAAGTTTAATTCTGTTTCAGATATCAAATACTTCTCGTAAAATAAGAAAAGTTGTTGTGGAGCTCTGCAACATTGTTGCCACACGTGGGGCTCGCCTTGCTGCTGCTGGAATTTTAGGTGTTCTGAAAAAGGTGGGAAAAGACGCATTCAAGGATGGGGAAAAACAGAGGACAGTGGTAGCTTTGGATGGTGGATTGTACGAGCATTACAATGAATATAGTAAGTGCATGGAGAATACCCTAAGAGAATTGCTTGGAGAGGAAGTTTCCGAGAGTATCGTTATTGAGCACTCTAATGATGGTTCTGGCATTGGAGCTGCCCTTCTTGCTGCCTCTCACTCACAATACCTTGGAGTTGATGAATCCTGAGTTTTCTCAGAACGGTAGAGCTTTTTGGTGAAGAAAGTTTCACAGTTTTGGCATTTTAATCTTTCCCCTGTTCCAACTAGAACCTCTCCCATTTTTTCATCTTATTTCTGTGCCTCTTCTGCTCTGCCCATTTTCTCCTTATGATTGTTTTTCCTTTTTAGGGGAGAATTTTAGTTTGTGGCTTTGCAGAATCTGTAAGAGAGGTGGATTGTTGTATAAAAGCAGGACCTGTAAGCGGCCATGCTATACTGCTTCGGCCTGCAAATTTCCATTTTTTTTTTTTTACCTTATGGTAATTCCCAATTCTTATGTTCAAAATAATAGAAGCATTGAAATGCTACTTTTAATCACAACACCAATTTTATTCTTATGATTTATTATTTTGTTTGTGGTCAGAAAATGTCACTTTAGTAATGCCAATTCTGATTCATTTTCAGAGCCTCTCTCAAGCTCACTCCTAGGTTTGAAGACAAACTTTCTTCATTTTCTCCACTTTTTTGTAACTTTCATGCTTAATTTCTTTTGGTATGCTAAAGGAGAACTCTTTGTAATTTCTTTTGGGTACAAAACACATTAGAAAAAGAAAAAAATTTCTCAACAGAAGGAGAAAAAGGGATGAAATAGGACAAAATCACCAACAATGAATAATATCAGACAAAAGTTCTTTAACACAAAAAATTGTTGGATCTAATCATGTTAATATCTATTCCAAGTACATGTCTCACGGATGTTTACCCTGATTCGCAATGACAAAAGTAGCAATCAGTTAGTAGGGAGAGCAACCTTCTTGAGGCATTGTTTACGGCAGATCGTGAAGTCTATCGCGCGTCCATTTTTCTGCACCAGAAGTCGCATAAAAAGTAAAAAGAGAAGTTAGACCCTGCAATTATCAGATTGAAAACCCATAAAAGAAACAAAAGCAAAATGCTTTTATTTAATATACAAACCAAAACCAGCAGCGGTATAGGGCATGGGATGCTTGCAGGGAAGTGTACACTTATCAAAATTTATAGGCTTAGGATGAGGGCCCCTGCACATAGAAGAACATCCTCTTAAACAGTCCACGTCGCTGTTCGAGCAAGTGTCCATGCACAACATCAAACAGCCCTCATCGGGGGACTGTTGAGGAGGAGGACTTAGGTTTGGCAATGTTGGGGAGTCATGAGCAGGTGGAGGGGGTGAGTTTTGAAGGCCAGGGTCATAGGAAGGTGG